ACGTGTATAGTGTTGAGTCATCCGCATACATAGACACACTGGCTTTACTCAAAGGCAGTGGCATGTTGATAGTAAAGATTGAAAAAAGTAAGGGGCCTAGACAGCTGCCCTGGGGAATTCCTGATTCTACCTGGATTTTGTTGGGAGAGGCTTCCATTAAAGAACACCCTCTGTGTTCTGTTAGACAGGTAACTCTTTATCCACAATATAGCAGGGGGTGTAAAGCCATAACACATACACTACCGTTCAAAAGTTTGGGGTCACTTAGAAATGTCCTTGTTTTCCATGAAAACATACATGAAATTAGTTTGAATAGGAAATATAGCAACATGCATAGGAAATGTAGTCCATTGACAAGGTTAGAAATAATTATTTTTAATACAAATAATAATTGTGTCCTTCAAATTTAGCTTTCGTCAAAGAATCCTCCATTTGCAGCAATTACAGCCTTGCAGACCTTTGGCATTCTAGTTGTCAATTTGTTGAGGTAATCTGAAGAGATGTCACCCCATGCTTCCTGAAGCACCTCCCACAAGTTGTATTGGCTTGATGGGAACTTCTTACGTACCATACGGTCAAGCTGCTCCCACAACAGCTCAGTAGGGTTGAGATCCGGTGACTGTGCTGGCTACTACATTATAGACAGAATACCAGCTGACTGCTTCTTCCCTAAATAGATCTTGCATAGTTTGGAGCTGTGCTTTGGGTCAATGTCATGTTGTAGGAGGAAATTTGCTCCAATCAAGCACCGTCCACAGGGTGTATGGCAAGTGATAGCCTTCCTTCTTCAAGATCCCTTTTACCCTGTACAAATCTCCCACTTTACATTTCTAAATGACCCTAACCTTTTGAACGGTAGTGTATGTTTTTCCAGCAGCAGACTATGATCGATAATGTCAAAAGCTGTGCTGAAGTCTAACAAAACCGCCCCCACAATCTTTTTATCATCAATTTATCTCAGCCAATCATCAGTCATTTGTGTAAGTGCTGTGCTTGTTGAATGTCCTTACCTATAAGCGTGCTGAAAGTCTGTTGTCAATTAGTTTTTGTAAAATAGCATTTTATCTGGTCAAACACCATTTTTTCCAAAACTTTACTAAGGGTTGGTAACAGGCTGATTGGTCGGCTATTTGAGCCAGTAAAGGGGGCTTTACTATTCTTAGGTAGCGGAATGACTTTTGCTTCCCTCCAGGCCTGAGGACACACACATTCTAGTAGGCTTAAACTGAAGATATGGCAAATAGGAGTGGCAATATCGTCCGCTATTATCCTCAGTAATTTTCCATCCAAGTTGTCAGACCCCGGTGGCTTGTCATTGTTGATCGACAATAATATTTGTTTCACTTCTTCCACACTTACTTTACGGAATTGAAAATTACAATGTTTGTCTTTTATAATTTGGTCAGATATACTTGGATGTATAGTGTCAGCGTTTGTTGCTGACATGTCATGCCTAAGTTTGCTACATTTTTACATTTTAGTCATTTAGCAGACGCTCTTATGGGCTCCCGAGTGGCGCAGCGGTCTAAGGCACTGCATCTCAGTGCTTGAGGCGTCACTACAGACCACCTGGTTCGATTCCAGGCTGTATCACAACCGGCCGTGATTGGGAGTCCCATAGGGCGGTGCACAATTGGCCCAGCGTCGTCCGGGTTTGGCCGGTGTAGGCCGTCATTGTAACTAAGAATTTGTTCTTAACTGACTTGCCTAGTTAAATAAATGTAAACAAAAATTAAAATAATCCAGAGCGATTTACAGTTAGTGAGTGCATACATTTTTCATACTGGCCCCCCGTGGGAATCGAACCCACAACCCTGGCGTTGCAAGCGCCATGCTCTACCACGGGGCAAGGTGACTGGGAATATGGCAGAATACAGTGTAGCTATTCACTCCGCAAGGAAATCAAACAGGCAAAACGTCAGTATAGAGTCGCAATTCAACGGCTCAGTCACGAGACAGCAGTCTACAGACAATCACGGATTACAAAAGGAAAACCAGCCACGTTGCCGACACCGACGTCTTGCTTCCAGACAAGCTAAACACCTTCTTCGCCCACTTTGAGGATAACACAGTGCCACCAACGAGGCCCACTACCAAGGACTGTAGCCTCTCCTTCTCCATGGCCGACGTGATTAAGACATTTAAGCGTGTTAAACCTCGCAAGGCTGCCGGCCCAGATGCCATTCCTAGCCGCGTCCTCAGAGCATGTGCAGACCAGCTGGCTGGTGTGTTCATGGACATATTCAATCTCTCCCTTTCCCAGTATGCTGTCCCCACTTGCTTCAAGATGTCCACCATTGTTCCTGTACCCAAGAAAGAAAAGGTAACTGAACTAAATGACTATCGCCCCGTAGCACTCACCTCTGTCATCATGAAGTGCTTTGAGAGACTAGTCAAGGATCACATCACCTCTACCTTACCTGTCACCCTAGACCCACTTCAATTTGCTTACCGCCCCAATAGATCCACAGACGACGCAATCGCCATCACACTGCACACTGCCCTATCCCATCTGGACAAGAGGAATACCTATGTAAGAATGTTGTTCATTGACTATAGCTCAGCCTTCAACACCATAGTACCCTCCAAGCTCATCATTAAGCTTGAGGCCCTGGGTCTGAACCCCGCCCTGTGCAACTAGGTCCTGGACTTCCTGACGGGCCGCCCCCAGGTGGTGAAGGTAGGAAACAACATCTCCACTTTGCTGATCCTCAACACTGGGGCCCCACAGGGGTGCGTGCTCAGCCCCCTCCTGTACTCCCTGTTCACCCATGACTACGTGGCCAAGCACGCCTCCAACTCAATCATCAAGTTTGCAGACGACACAACAGTAGTAGGCCTGATTACCAACAACAATGAGACAGCCTACAGGGAGGAGGTGAGGGCTCTGGGAGTGTGGTGCCAGGAAAATAACCTCTCACTCAACATCAACAAAACAAAGGAGATGATCGTGGACTTCAGGAAACAGCAGAGGGTGCACCCCCCTATCCACATCGACGGGACCGCAGTGGAGAAGGTGGAAAGCTTGAAGTTCCTTGGCGTACACATCACTGACTAACTGAAATGGTTCAGCCACGCAGACAGTGTGGTGAAGAAGGCGCAACTGAGCTTCTTCAACTTCAGGAGGCTGAAGAAATTCGGCTTGGCACCTAAAACCCTCAACTTTTACAGATGCACAATTGAGAGCATCCTGTCGGGCTGTATCACCGCCTGGTACGGCAACTGCACCGCCCGCAGCCGCAGGGCTCTCCAGAGGGTGGTGCGGTCTGCCCAACGCATTACCGGGGGAAAACTACCCGCCCTCCAGGACACATACAGCACCCGATGTCACAGGAAGGCCAAAAAGATCATCAAGGACAGCAATCACCCGAGCCACTGCCTGTTCACCCCGCTATCATCCAGAAGGCGAGGTCAGTACAGGTGCATCAAAGCTGGGACCTAGAGACTGAAAAACTAAGAGTGCAAAGCTGTCAACAAGGCAAACTGTGGCTATTTGAAGGATCTCAAATATAAAATATATTTAGATTTGTTTAACACTTTTTTGGTTACTACATGATTCCATATGTGTTATTTCATAGTTTTCACGTCTTCACTATTATTCTACAATGTAGAAAATAGTAAAAATTAAGAAAAACTGAGTAGGTGTTCTTAAACTTTTCACCGGTAGTGTAGATATTCTTAATTCCATTCCTTACTTAGATGTGTATTGGGTATGTGTTGTGAAATTGTTAGATATTACTGCACTGTCGGAGCTAGAAGCACAAGCATTTCGCTACACCTGCAATAACATCTTGCTAAACACGTGTATGTGACCAAATAAAATAAGCAATTTCATAAAAGTGTCAAGTGCAGCGTCTTGGTTGCTCGTCATTACACACCACAGACCAATAAATATCTTCACATCATCAACATAGGAATCACTACAAAACGTATTGTATGACCTCTTATACACAATATTAGGCCCAGCCTTTGGAACTTTGGTTTTCCTAGATATGGCTACTATATTGTGATCACTACATCCGGGGGATCTGGATACTGCTTTCAATCAAATTTCTGCAGCATTAGTAAAGATATGATCAATACATGTTGATGATTTCATTCCTGTACTGTTTGTAACTACCCTGGTAGGTTGATTGATAACCTGAACCAGGTTGCAGGCACTGGTTACAGTTTGAAGCTTTCTCGTGAGTGGGCAGCTTGATGAAAGCCAGTAAATATTTAAATCACCCAGAAAGTATACCTCTCTATTGATATCACATATATTATCAAACATTTCACATGTTATCCAGATACTGACTGTTAGCACTTGGTGGTCTATAGCAGCTTCCCACCAGAATGGGCTTTAGGTGAGGCAGATGAACCTGTAGTCATATTACTTCAACAGAATTTAACATGAGATCCTCTAAACTTTACAGGAATGTGGTTCTGAATATAGACCGCAACACCGCCCCGTTGGCATTTCTATATTTTCTGTAAATGTTATAACTTTGTATTGCTACCCACTGTATCATCAAAGGTATTATCTAAGTGAGTTTCAGAAATTGTCAGAATATGAACCTTGTTTCTTAAGCTACATATGTTAACGTGGGCTATTTCTAACACTTTTCTGGGATGCTTGATTATGTTTCTTGCTTAACTGGGAAGCTTAGCAGAGGTAGACATGCTCAGGTTATTTTTATTAGTGCAGGGTGAGCTGCACACAGTGGACTTCCTACTAGGGCACACCACCTCAGTGCTAACAGTATTACTTTGGTTCATAGGCACATGATTACTGCATACAATAGCTGTGGGATCAGCAGAGGCATTCGGGGCAGTAAGAGGGTACATAAATTAGGTTACTTACATTGTGTCTTCCAACGCCCCTGGGATAATGTACATTTGCTGAATCATTATGATAAGTCATTATGGAGCATAGCTCTCTAAGGTTGGTGCAGTATGAAGCATTCTAAATGTGTGTTGATGATAGAGGTTAACCAGCTAGTCTGTGTGCCTCCCCCCAGTACAGACAAGCATACACTGGGAACAGCCAGTCCCAGGTGCAGACGGCCATGGACGGCTTTGAGGACATCGTCAGGAGGTTCCCCAAGTGTGCCGAGGGATACGCTCTTTATGCACAGGTAGGAATACGTTCTGTATGCAGAGGTAGGAATACACTCTGTATGTACAGGTGCACTGTCTGTCATTAACACTGTCTCACCTGACATTAACACTGTCATTAACACTGTCTCACCTGTCATTAACACTGTCTCACCTGTCATTAACACCGTCTCACCTGTCATTAACACTGTCTCACCTGTCAGGTACACTGTCATTAACACCGTCTCTCCTGTCATTAACACCGTCTCTCCTGTCATTAACACCGTCTCTCCTGTCATTAACACCGTCTCTCCTGTCATTAACACCGTCTCTCCTGTCATTAACACCGTCTCTCCTGTCATTAACACCGTCTCTCCTGTCATTAACACCGTCTCTCCTGTCATTAACACCGTCTCACCTGTCAGGTACACTGTCATTAACACCGTCTCTCCTGTCATTAACACCGTCTCACCTGTCATTAACACTGTCTCACCTGTCATTAACACTGTCTCACCTGTCATTAACACTGTCTCACCTGTCAGGTACACTGTCATTAACACCGTCTCTCCTGTCATTAACACCGTCTCTCCTGTCATTAACACCGTCTCTCCTGTCATTAACACCGTCTCTCCTGTCATTAACACCGTCTCTCCTGTCATTAACACCGTCTCTCCTGTCATTAACACCGTCTCATTAACACCGTCTCATTAACACCGTCTCTCCTGTCATTAACACCGTCTCTCCTGTCATTAACACCGACTCATTAACACTGTCTCTCCTGTCATTAACACCGTCTCTCCTAGCCAATATACCACTAAGGCTGTTCTTAGTCACGACACAAGGCCTGAATACAGCCCTTAGCCGTGGTATATTGGCCATATACCACACCCCCTTATTGCTATTATAAACTGGTTACCAATGGATTTAGAGGAGTAAAAGTAAATGTTTTGTCATACCCGTGGTATACCGTCTGATATACCATGGCTTTCAGCCTATCAGCATTCAGGGCTGGACCCACCCAGGTTCTAATAATAAATCACATCTTACCTGCAGTGGATTGGCTGCTTGAGTATGTGAATCACCCTGAAACATTTCTCCTGTGTGTCTGTTATTCAGGCGTTGACTGACCAGCAGCAGTTTGGCAAGGCAGATCAGATGTACAACAAGTGCATTGACCTGGAGCCAGACAACGCTACAACATACGTCCACAAAGGGTGAGTTAGCCAGACAACGCTACAACATACGTCACAAGGGTGAGTTAGCCAGACAACGCTACAAACATAACGTCCACAAAGGTGAGTTAGCCAACAAAACGCTACAACATACGTCCACAAAGGGTGAGTTAGCCAGACAACGCTACAACATACGTCCACAAGGGGTGAGTTAGTCTGAAGGTCAGAGGCCTGTGGATCTGTAGTGAGGCCCCTGGTGTGAGGAGGTAGAGGGGCAGAGGCCTGTGGATCTGTAGTGAGCCCCTGGTGTGAGGAGGTAGAGGGGCAGAGGCCTGTGGATCTGTAGTGAGGCCCCTGGTGTGAGGAGGTGAGGGGCAGAGGCCTGTGGATCTGTAGTGAGGCCCCTGGTGTGAGGAGGTAGAGGGCAGAGGCCTGTGGATCTGTAGTGAGGCCCCTGGTGTGAGGAGGTAGAGGGGCAGAGGCCTGTGGATCTGTAGTGAGGCCCCTGGTGTGAGGAGGTAGAGGGGCAGAGGCCTGTGGATCTGTAGTGAGGCCCCTGGTGTGAGGAGGTAGAGGGGCAGAGGCCTGTGGATCTGTAGTGAGGCCCCTGGTGTGAGGAGGTAGAGGGGCAGAGGCCTGTGGATCTGTAGTGAGGCCCCTGGTGTGAGGAGGTAGAGGGGCAGAGGCCTGTGGATCTGTAATGAGGCCCCTGGTGTGAGGAGGTAGAGGGGCAGAGGCCTGTGGATCTGTAGTAATGTTTCTGTGTGTTCAGGTTGTTGCAGCTCCAGTGGAAGCAGGACTTGGACCTGGGCCTGGACCTCATCAGCAAGGCCATTGAGATCGACAACAAATGTGACTTTGCCTACGAAACCATGGGAACTATTGAAGTTCAAAGGTTAGTTCAATACTTTTAAAAATATTGCCCAGTAATAAGTTTAGAGTTTGGTTTAGAAGGCATTAAATAACATCTTTGTACATTATTTAATTTTTTACATTAACAACAAATATAACAGAATATACAGTCATACTTTACAACCCAGTATACAAATAAATACTAACTTTATACACAGGGGTATATGCATTTAAACAAGAGTAAAGGCTTCATAGGCGTTTAGGGTTCGCTTTGCTTTACCTTTTATTTGTATGCTGCATAAAAAAACATCTGTTTTTAAAAGTGAGAATCTTGGCTTTTCTTTAGCCCACTTGCATTTACAGTATGTATAAAATATTGACCATACATAATACAGAGATTCATTATACTTTGTTCTGATCCAAATCCTGATTATTAAATAACAGTCAAACATCCTTCCCATCAAGCTGAACTCTAGCACCAGTTGCTCTAAAAAGGAGATGCTCAAGATGTCCAAAAAATCTTAGTACAAATACATGAAATACATTAGTTTCATTTTCAATTTGACAAAACACACTTTTTTTTTTAATTAAGTGAATAATTTTAAAACACACTTCACGGACGTTGTTAGTGACACAATACTTTCTATTTAAATTCCATACCGCTTTCCAATTAATGTTATTACATTTAGAATTCTGCTGACGTAAAAGGAGACTCGGTACATTAAGAACACCTGCTCTTTCCATGACGTACACTGAGTGGACAAAACATTAAGAACACCGGCTCTTTCCATGACATACACTGAGTGGACAAAACATTAAGAACACCTGCTCTTTCCATGACATACACTGAGTGGACAAAACATTAAGAACACCTGCTCTTTCCATGACATACACTGAGTGGACAAAACATTAAGAACACCTGATAGGGGACAGAATGAGGTCGGACCATCATATAATTGGAAAATACATTACTCTTACTGATTTTCCACGTGGGCGAGGATATTGGACATTTAATCAAAGCCTATTGGATGATAACTTGTTTTTAACTAGGACAGAGGAATTTATAACTGATTTTTTCCAACATAACATAGGTACAGCAAATCCCCTTATTGTATGGGACACTTTTAAATGTGCCTTTTAGAGGATATGGAATTCAGTACTCACCTCGAAAACAAAAGCAATTTAGGTCAAAAGAGTCCATACTAACAAAGGAAATAGAAGGTCTAACAGAACAGATATATAGCAATAAAAACTAACATAGAGGCTCAGAATAAATTAGAGGAAAAACAAAAATAAATGGAGAAACTTATTCAAGAAAGATCAAGTGTAATATATTGTCAAAATAAAGCAAACTGGATGGAATGTGGGGAAAAATGCACCACATTCTTTTTAAATCTTCAACATAGGAATGCTAACAAAAATAATTTATTGAAACTGGTTACAAATGACGGAGTCACCCATGATTCGCCAAATGATATTTTGAAGGAGGAAACAAAGTACTTTAAGCATATGTTTTCGTTTCAGTCGCCTCTATCTCCTCTAACTGAAGCAAATTGTAGAGATTTTTTTTCTATTGATAATGTAAAATTAACAGCCATACAGAAAGACTCATGTGAAGGTGAAATTACAGAGGAGGAACTTCTGGATGCAATTAAAGACTTTAAGTCTGGGAAAACTCCAGGGTTGGATGGCATACCAGTCGAGGTATACCAAAACTTTTTTGATATACTCAGAGGACCGTTATTAGCATGTTTTAACCACTCCTATGTAAATGGTAGATTGTCAGACACTCAAGAAGAAAGTCTGATTTCATTATTACTGAAACAGGATACAAGTGGGAAATATAAAGATCCAGTCCATTAAAAAAATCGGAGGCCCCTTACACTTCAGTGTTGTGATGCAAAAATTCTAGCAAAATGTATAGCGCATAGAATTAAAAAGGTATTGTCGGACATTATTCATTCTAATCAGACAGGTTTTTTACATGGACGATACATTGGAGATAATATAAGGCAAGTATTGGAAACAATAGAACACTATGAAAAATCTGGGAAACCAGGCCTGGTATTCATAGCAGACTTTGAAAAGGCATTTGATAAAGTACGACTGGGGTTTATATATAAATGCCTGGACAATCTCTTATAAAATGGGTTAAAATCATGTATAGTAACCCTAGGTGTAAAATAGTAAATAATGGCTATTTCTCAAAGTTTTAAACTGTCAAGAGGAGTGAAACAAGGTTGTCCACTATCGACATATCTATTTATTAATGCCATTGAGATGTTAGCTATTAAAATCAGATCCAACAATAATATCAAGGGATTAGAAATCCAGGGCTTAAAAACAAAGGTGTCATTGTACGCTGATGATTCATGTTTTCTTTTAAATCCACAACTTGAATCTCTCCACAGCCTCATAGAGGATCTAGATACATTTTCTAACCTCTCTGGATTACAACCAAATTATGATAAATGTACTATATTACGTATTGGATCACTAAAACATAAAATGTTAACATTACCATGTAGTTTACCAATAAAATGGTCTGATGGTGATGTGGATATACTCGGAATACATATCCCAAAGGAAATAAATGATCTCACTCCAATAAATTCTAATAGAAAGTTAGCAAAAATAGATAAGATCTTGCTACCATGGAAAGGTAAATACCTGTCAATTTGTGGAAAAATCACCCTGATTTTAACTCTTTAGTATTATCCCAGTTTACCTATTTGCTTATGGTCTTGCCTACGCCTAGCGAACAGTTTTTTAAATTATATGAGAAAACAATATTCCATTTTATTTGGAACGGCAAGCCAGACAAAATTAAACAAACCTATTTATATAATGAATATGAATTCGGAGGACAGAAATGATTAAATATTAAAGCATTAGACCTATCACTAAAAGCTTCAGTGACACAAAAGTTATACTTAAATCCGAACTTGTCTCACCCCATGTTCAAGAATGGCCTTTTTCCCTTTATTCAGATTACAACCTCTCACTTTCAGTTATTTGAAAAGGAAATCATCTCCCAGATATCACTATTTCTAAAACAAGCCATAGAAAGTTGGTTGCAATTTCAATTTAATCCTCCAGAAACGACAGAATAAATAATGCAACAAATATTGTGGTTAAACTCAAATATACTAATTTATAATAAACCTTTTTTTTTTTTGACAATGTTTAAAAAAGGTATAATCTTCGTAAATGATATTATCGGTAGGACTGGTGGAGTTATGTCGCACATGCAGCTAACAAAAACATATGGAAATGTCTGCTCTACCAGTGTATGTGTATCAAATACTTGTTCTCCCCACTGTATATAAAACACATGTAAAAAATATATAGGGTGTGTTCGTAAATTAAATCTGGAGTGCCAGAGTGCGCTCTGGGCGTTCGTAAATTCAGGGCATTGTCAGATTGCCCATTCGTAATTTCAGAGCGTTTCGCTCTCGGAGTGTTCTGGCGGAGGAGTAGGGTTGATCAGAGTGTTCTGACCTCACAACGGCAGTCAAGCACCCAAGCTAACTGGCTAACGTTGGCTAGCTTGCTAGCTACTTCCAGACACAAATGAGAGAACAGCTCACTCTGACCATTTTACTCGCCCTAGCAGAGCTGGTTAGGGTGTTTTTATGTTATCCATTGGTGACTAACTGTGCTGCTGGCAACAATTTAATTACACTTTTTTGCCAACGTTTACTGACACCGGCCATATTCAACGGGTGTTGAGTGTTCGTAAATTCATCAGTTACTCTGCGCTCTGGCACACTCAGACGAGAGTGCTCTGAAATCGGAGTAGGTAGCCAAAATGAATTTACGAACGCACCCATAATATTTATACAACGGGTGGGTCTAATCCTGAATGCTGATTGGTTAAAACCGCATTCTAGCCGGTGTCTATTCCACAAGTTAGCACCGGCTAAATCTATGACGTTAAAATGCCTATTTACTCTGTACCACTGTCTCTTCAGCCCAGCCAGACAATTTATAAACTTGATCTCCACTATAAAAAGCATCTAGACATTATCTCCCATTTCTTTTAGACTAACATTTAGTTTTGAACAGTGGAGATTTGTATATGTGTGTGTGTGTGTGTGTGTGTGTGTGTGTGTGTGTATGTATATATATATATATATATATGTATATGTGTGTGTATAAACCTGTCTGTCTCTCTGGCATTATCAACATTGTTTCAATATTGTAATTCGATCTCCAGGTGTACCATAGTAATGAACGTGTCAGGAGTCGGGACGAGACAGACAGGCAGCGTTTCTATTAATCAGCTGGCATAATTTTTTATGGATATATACAAAGAAATGTCCATTGAAAAAAGGTCAAACGAAACGAAATGCAGCTAGTTTGCAGTCTTTCCAGCTTCAGTTTGAAGTGATTGTGTTAGCTGGCTGTTGGCTAGCTCCTCTGAACAACAGTGTCCTGACGAGTGAGCACATTGTCTTTGCCAGGTGAAATCGCGCCTCATTAGCTCATTGTTATGGATGTATCCAAATAAATGTTACTAGAAAACAGCTTAAACAAATGCAGCTACTGTTGTTCATCTGGCTGCACTGTTTGACGTGACTAAGTTAGCCGTAGTTGGCTAGCTAGCAAGCGAGGGATAAAAACGTTGCCAGCCAGTATGGCAATAGAACATTTACAGCGAAAAACTGGGTCGAGTCTATAGACACAGCACAAAAAGACTGAACGACTGGGTCGCGTCCATAGATACAGAACAAAAAGACTGAACGACTGGGTCGCATCTCTGGCAACCGAACCGATGGAACAAACGACCAGCCGGCTTGGGTAGCAACCCTAGATTTGTGTCGGGACTATGTCTTGTGGAAGGATTAAATAGTATGAATAAATTCATCAAAATAACGTTTTTAATGAAAATATGTCAATCGTTATTTGAATATAATAATAATATATATGAATATGTTGGTAACCCGTTGTATAAAAGTGATAATGCCCTCGAAGCCGGTGTTTGGAGGATATATTGGCTCGGTTTGCCGCACCCGTGCCCGAGTGGCGCAGTGGTCTAAGGCACTGCATCGCAGTGCTAGCTGTGCCACTAGAGATCCTGGTTCGAATCCAGGCTCTGTCGTAGCCGGCCGTGACCGGGAGACCCATGGGGCGGCGCACAATTGGCCCAGTGTCGTCCAGGGTAGGGGAGGGAATGGCCGGCAGGGATGTTGGTAGAGCATGGCGTTTGCAACGCCAGGGTTGTGTGTTCGATTCCCGCGGGGGGCCAGTATGAAAATAAAATTAAAATTAAATAAAAAATATGTATGCACTCACTAACTGTATGTCGCTCTGGATAAGAGCGTCTGCTAAATGACTAAAATGTAAAAAATGTCATATCCTCCAAACACCGGCTTCTCTGGCATTATCACTTAGATAAACTTCCCTCTCATTTCAGGGGGAACCTGGACAAGGCGATAGACATGTTCAACAAGGCCATCAACCTGGCCAAGTCAGAGATGGAGATGGCCCACCTGTACTCGCTGTGTGACGCGGCCCACGCCCAGACTGAGGTAGCCAGGAAGTACGGGCTGAAGCCACCCACGCTGTAACACTCCTGTCACATGACCCACCCTACCCAAGCCCCTCCCACTCTCCACTGCTGAGCCTGATCATATTAAAACTGCAGATGTTTGAGTAATTTTGTTTTGTACAAGACATGAGAACTACCAGTGGTTAAAGATGAATGTAAAATATATGTGACTAGGGTTGCAAAATTCCGGTAACTTTCCCAGAATTACCCGGTTTTCCTGAAATCCAGGAATTATGAGGAAATAAGCAGGAAATCCGTGAAACCGCAGGATTTCTGGAAAACCAGGGAGGGAAGGTTGGGAAAGTCTGTGACCATCTATTATGACCATGTTTGTCACGTTGAATTGGAGTTTAAACCAGAACCCCAAGCCGCTGGTAAATGGGGAGAGGTTTTAACCCTCACACCCCCCCCCCCGTCTCCTGATATTTAGTTTGAGCCGGACCACGACCTCTATTGTCCCTCCTGTACCAGTCCAGAAGGTCTTGTTTTCTCTACCAGGAACATGTGGATGGCCTTGTGAAGCCAGGTATCCATCCAGAAATAATTCAACCTTCTAAAATCAAAGGGAGATTCGCTCAATAGATTTTCGCCATCTCAGTGCTGACTAATCCATATTCGGACGAATTTTAAGATAAATGTCTAATGTCGCCTCCACAATGAGAGAACTGGATAGAGTTCCAATGGACTGTTCATTTGTTACTATATATTAGTTCTTGTTCTCTAACAAATGTTTCTGTCCAGACATATCCTCAAGATGACGTAACATTATCATTGAATGGCTAATTTAAATGCAGGATTAAAATGTTAGTCAAATGTGTGTGTAATGATGGATGTCTGTGTTTGGTGTAATGCTGGAGTTGATATGATTATGTGTTGGATAAGAGCCCAGGTGAAGTCAGGGTCCTTAAGGGTTGTTTATTTTGGGGGGGGGATTGCCTGTTTTTCCTTTTTATATATTCTGTACAGCATGTAAGATTTCTCTTTTTAAGTCGGTGTTAATGCAATGAAATACTGGTCTGAAGCCATCTGGCCATTTTGGGAAGGCCAGACCTGATAACAATGAGCATTTAGACCTAAAATGACACCTTTAATTCAGCAATTCTCGAAATGTAACACTTTTTTTTTTTTTTTTTTTTTTTTTTTCAACTGCTTGTAGATTCAGAAAATGTCAGAAGGGACAATTATTGTTATATTTTTTCAGGCTCAGTCAACTTTTACTTTGCAGGGGGCAGGTATGCCATCATACAGAAAGTATTCACACCCAGTGGCGTGTATTCATGGATGCCAAGGGAAGCCAGGCTTCCCCAAAAAATGACCAATAAAAAAAACATACCATTTATTTAGTCTCTCTGTGTGTCATAATTGTCCTTAAATTCGAGAGGCTGAATGTATCTCACAGGAGAAAGCATCGGAGCGAGAGAAACAGCGCCCCTCTGTCTCTCTATGTGTAGTCCATCTATCTGATGCTGTCTGGTCCAAACGAGTATGACATTGTTGCCACCTATAGCATTGAAGGCAAGGGAAGCCAGCGAGCATTTGGCCTCACTTGATAATAAAAAGTATACAAAATTAGCCAATCAGCGTTGAGCTAAACTGAGTGAGCTCAACTGTGATTGGTCCTGGCGCAGCAAAAAAAAGTGTCAAAGGAAGCCAGCTTGGATTTTGGCGTCACTCCTATCAAATCCCATTGAGAGCAAACATCATTGACAGAAACAACTTGAATTGTTGCATCTCGTTGTGTTGTTGTCCTCTGGTGGCTAGCTAGCTAGCTAAAATTGTCCCTTTCCTAAATTAGCCATGGATGGAGACAGGGATTTGGACTTGTGGTTTTACTTAATGATTATATGAGGCGTTTCTGATCCAACCATTATTTCATACATTGTTGTCCCCTGGCCTGAGAGGATGGAAGTTCAATATGTAGCTAGATGTAGAAGGCTAATATTAACTAGTTAGGCTAGCGAGCAAGCCATGTAGCCTAGGTCATGTAGCATAGGACAACAAAAAATAAAAGCGTGTACTGTATGACAGAGTGATAGACCGTTTCATCAACATGAAAGAGAGGAGGATGGCATACCAAAGGTCAAGCATGGTGGTGGTGGTGTGATGGTTTGGGGATGCTTTGCTGCCTCAGGACCTGGACGACTTGCCTTAATAGAAGGAACCATGAATTCTGCTCCGTATCAGAGAATTCTACAGGAGAATGTCAGACCATCCGTCTGTGAGCTGAAGCTGAAGCGCAGCTGGGTCATGCAGCAAGACAATGATCCAAAACACACAATCAAGTCTACATTAAAATTGCTAAAAAGCAACAAATTGCAAGTTTTGGAATGGCCTAGTCAAAGTCCAGACCTAATCCCAATTGAGATGTTGTGGCAGGACTTGAAACGAGCAGTTCATGCTTGAAAACCCACACGTCACTGAGTTAAAGCAATTCTGCATGGAAGAGTGGGCCAAAATTCCTCCACAACGACGTGAGAGACTGATCAACAACTACAGGAAGCATTTGGTTGGAGTCATTGCAGCTAAAGGTGGCACAACCAGTTATTGAGTGTAAGAGGGCAATTACTTTTTCACACAGGGGAATTGGGTGTTGCATAACTTTGTTTATGAAATAAATATGTAATTGTTGTGTTATTTGTTCACTTATGTTCCCTTTATCTAATATTAGGTTTTAGTTGAAGATCTGATAACATTCAGTATCACAAATATGCAAAAGTAGAGAAAATTAGAAAGGGGGCAAATACTTTTTCATAGCACTGTGGGAGTAAAGTGACAACAGGATAGAAAATAGACATCTACATTTATCTACAAATAGGTGCCCTTCTTTGCAAACTATTGGAAAACCTCCCTGGTCATTGTGGTTGAATCTGTGCTTGAAATTATCTGTTCGACTGAGGGACCTTACACATACAGTTGAAGTCGGAGGTTTACATACACCTTAGCCAAATACATTTAATCCTAGTAAAAATGCCCTGTCGTAGGTCAGTTAGGATCACCACTTTATTTTAAGAATGTGAAATGTCAGAATAATAGTAGAGAGAATGATTTATTTATTTATTTCATCACATTCCCAGTGGGTCGGAAGTCCAATACCTTGACTTTGTTGTCCTTAAGCCATTTTGCCACAACTTTGGAAGTATGCTTGGGGTCATTGTCCATTTGAAGACCCATTTGCAACCAAGCTTTAACTTCCTGACTGATGTCTTGAGATGTTGCTTCAATATATCCACATAATTTCCCTTCCTCATGATGCCATCTATTTTGTGAAGTGCACCAGTCCCACCTGCAGCAAAGCACCCCCACAGCATGATGCTGCCACCCCTGTGCTTCACGGTTGGGATGGTGTTCTTCGGCTTGCAAGCAACCCCTTTTTCCTCCAAACATAACGATGGTCATTATGGCCAAACAGTTCTATTTTTGTTTCATCAGACCAGAGGACATTTCTCCAAAAATTACCATCTTTGTCCCCATGTGCAGTTGCAAACCGTAGTCTGGCTTTTTTATGGCGGTTTTGGAGCAGTGGCTTCTTCCTTATTGAGCGGCCTTTCAGGTTATGTCGATATAGGACTCGTTTTACTGTGGATATAGATACTTTTGTATCGGTTTCCTCCAGCATCTTCACAAGGTCCTTTGCTGTTGTTCTGGGATTGATTTGCACTTTTCGCACCAAAGTACGTTCATCTCTAGGAGACAGAACGCGTCTCCTTCCTGAGCGGTATGACGGCTGTGTGGTCCCATGGTGTTTATACTTGCATACTATTGTTTGTACAGATGAACGTGGTACCTTCAGACGTTTGGAAATTGCTCCCAAAGATGAACCAGACTTGTGGAGGTCTACATTTTTTTTATTAAGTCTTGGCTGATTTCTTTTGAATTTCCCATGATGTCAAGCAAAGAGGCACTGAGTTTGAAGGTAGGCCTTGAAATACATCCACAGGTACACCTCCAATTGACTCAAATTATGTAAATTAGCCTATCAGAAGCTTCTAAAGTCATGACATCATTTTCTGGAATTTTCCAAGCTGTTTAAAGGCACAGTCAACTTAGTGTATGTAAACTTCTGACCCACTGGAATTGTGATACAGTGAATTATAAGTGAAATAATCTGTCTGTAAACAATTGTTGGAAAAATGACTTGTGTCATGCACAAAGTAGATGTCCTAACCGACATGCCAAAACTATAGTTTGTTAACAAGACATTTGTGGAGTGGTTGAAAAACGAGTTTTAATGACTCCAACCTAAATGTATGTAAACTTCTGACTTCAACTGTATCTGTATGTGTAGGGTACAGAGATGAGGTAGTCATTAAAAAAACATGTTCAACTCTATCATTGTACACAAAGTCCATGCAACTTATTATGTGACTTGTTAAGCACATTTTTATATGTAACTTATTTAGACTTGCCATAGTAAAGGGGTTGAATACTTATTAACTCAAGATGTTTCAGCTTTTCATTTTTAATTAATTTGTAAACATTTCTAAAAACAGAACTCCACTTTGACATTTTGGGGTATTTTGTGTAGATCAGTGACACAGAATCTCAAATTAATCCATTTTAAATCCAGGCTGTAACACAACAAAATGTGGAATAAGTCAAGGGGTGTGAATGCTTCCTGAAGGCACTGTACAAAGGAAAGGGAAAGAGGGATATCTAGTCAGTCAACTGAATGCATTCAACTGTACATAGTGCCTCTGTTGGTGTTTGAGGGTACAGAAAAAAACATCTGACTGTATGACTGAAACAACACTAACATTCTGCCTAATCAGAGATGTCTCCTGACTATTCTGCCTAATCAGAGATGTATTCTGACTATTCTTCCCAATCAGAGATGTATCCTGACTATTCTGCCTAATCAGAGATATGTCATGACTATTCTGCCTAATCAGAGATATGTCATGACTATTCTGCCTAATCAGAGATGTATTCTGACTATTCTGCCTAATCAGAGATGTATTCTGACTATTCTGCCTAATCAGAGATGTGTCGTGACCATTCTGCCTAATCAGAGATGTATTC